TATATATATATATATATATATATATATAGTACAAAGATAGCACTTCAAAACAAACACTTGGTCTATATTGAAAGTGAGAGTGTGATTTTTTGCTTTCACAATTGTATTGTTGTAGCAAAGAATCAAAGTAATATATCGAAATTCAGATATTAAAAAGATATATTAAGAAAAACAAAAATGAACGATTCTTAGTGGCCACATCAAATTCAAACCATGCCAATTGGTAGGCCTGAAGCAAATCCTTCATCTTCTTTTCTGTTGCCAAAATTCCTTTGAAATTTGACGAGCGCTAACGACTTGCTTTCGCCAGTCGTGAATAGGAATCTGCAAAAGATGATAATATTGTTGGAAAATTTACTGAAGTGCAGTAATTTACAGGTAAAAATGAGTAGTAACACAAGTTCTTACAGCCGGAAAACCTCCATAATCCCCTGGTTCACTGATGCTCTTCGTGACACAGCTGTTAGCAGCTAATCTCACCTGAATCCCCCCATTGCCATCACAAATTGTTAGCGTTCAGGATTCAAAATATACGACAAAAGTTGAAACAGTACTAGTGAAATGTCATAACGAATAACAAGCAAAATCACCTTTGATGCTATGCAGACATGATCACGAATCGAGACTCTGCCTCCTAACGTCACATAATCACCTATTCTGAGAAAAAAAAAAAAAAAAACTAAACACAGATTTACGTGTAAAGCCAAAAACATGAACTTATGTGTAAATATAAATCGATGTATATAAAATGGAAGTAAATAGCGTACATCACTGAACCCGCAATCCCAACCTGTCCACATAACATGCAACTCTTTCCTATCTCCACATTGTGACCTATCTGTGGAAAAAGGAAAGACACACAAAATGACATTCTGAAGAATAATTTGCAGTGATGCAAAATGTAAAGAAAAAGAAATGATCCTCACCTGTACCAAATTGTCAATCTTGGTATGATCCCCAATTATTGTATCTCGCCAACTATACGGGAATGAATGTCACAAGAGTATCACGTAAATTTAACAGATTCAAACACACAATTTATGAAAAGAAAAATGTTAAATTGAAATCACATAGTTTACCTGCCTCTGTCAATACATGTGTTGGCACCTATTTCGACATGGTTGCCGATTCTTGCTTTTAATATCTAGAGATGGCAAAGGAAAACTTACATCACAAACGTTAGAGATAAAATACTGAACGAAACATGGCATTACACACTTCCTAATCTTAAGAGAATGTTCAGTTTTATAAGCATGAGAAACTCAAGTCATTAATAGTTACCAAATAGAAGCAATAACACAAGCTATTATTCGAAAATTTTGATTCATAACTAACCTGAGGCTTCTTAACCATGAGCCCTTGTTCATCAATGAAAAATCCAAAACCTACAAAGAAAGATAAATATGAATCTACTTTGGATAAATGTTAGCAAATTGGTATTATATGTTTTAGAAAAATTCACAGGTTGCAGGACTCACCATCTTGACCTATGCAGACCCCGTGATGAACTATGCAAGAATCACCAATTGTGCAATTACTGAGCACAATATTGTAACTGAGAAAGTATATGTTTGGTCGAGTCAAAATTCGAACGTGCACCACAATTTCTTGACACGAAAAATATGAAGAAAGAAATACGACCAAATGAAATTTGAAGGACTGCTTATTATTAGTGGCAGTTAGAACTTTTTACACATCAATTAGGAAAAATATAAAGGAAAAAGGGTAAAAATAACCCGGTGTATGATCAAGGAGCAGACCAAAAAAGGCAACAGCTCTTCTATTATAAAGACAAAAAAAAAAATTTATACAACTTCAAGCACAGCAAATATGTCGTAATCACAAATTCAATTTGTTGTCTACAATGCGCATTAACGTACCCCATTTTTGTGGATTGACCAATTGCAACATCAGGTCCAACAATGCTTCCGGACCCGATTGACACATTTGCACCAATAACAGAATCTGAATGAACAAGAGCACCAATCTCTATTCGAGCAGTTGGGTCAATAAGAGCAGATTTGTGAAACTTTCCTCCCCCATTGCACCATTTCTGAAATTCTTCATTATCATCACGTGTCTTAACAACATCTATATTGAAGATAAAGTTAGTGAGTTGAACAAGATTGAAACTTGATCATAACAAATTGATAACCAAACAAAATCCTTCACAACTAATAAAAAATAAACAGAAAAAACAGAATCTGTAAACACAGATATAGTAAATTTTATATTTTTCATCAACATCTGAGGCTTAACATGAACTCCTATACAGGGCAACACACGGAAGTACGAATAAAAACAAAAAAAAAACATATAATATATTCATTTCTTACAGTAATTTTCACAAACAGGTTGCGGGTGAGAGTTAAAAAATGATTAAAGGCTAACTTCACCTGAGTTGTTTGATATGGATCTGGTCAAGACGAGAGCACGAATATCGGCAATGGCTAACTGGGAACCAACTGTTGAAATACGCGCGGGAAAAAGAGTACATTTAGCTAGGCGCATGGCCATGGCGGGTGAGCTGTGGGCGGCCTTAACTCTCTTCGTGCGAGGCGAATTTCAACTTTCAAGCAGATTTTTTTCAAGTTTTTGGTTGGTTTCAGGCGTCCGTAGCTACGTTCAGTGTGAATTTTCTTGCATATGCGTTATGAGTGAACTGCTGTGTGCTGTTGAATGTTCACAACAATGGGTACTATGAGAAGCTGATTAGCTGATTAGCTTGCTATTGGGCAAGTTTTTATTAAGTTTGATTTACTGGATTAACTGAATGCAAGTAATTCTACTATGAGAGCTGATTAAAGTTTGCTAATGGATAAGTTTTTTTTTTTTTTTTTTATATTAAATTTAGTTTATTAGATAAAGTGAATTAAGATTAAAAAATAAATTGATTTGGTAGAAATTTGAATTTGATTTTAAATTTATGAGCGAAAAAACAATACTTTTGAGTGTTGAGAATGATCGAGTTACATTGCTTTTTAGTCTATTAGGGGGTAGTTTACTTTGTCTGACGGGATTGGATAATTTAGTCCAATCAACTTTACACGTCAGCATTTTGTCCAATAAATCAAGCATTTATTATATGGGACTAAATGAGATGATAAAACTGTAAATGACACATTTATCCTTTTGAAACATACAGAAAAACTTGCATACGAAAATGGATACCAAGCACAACGAACTAGCTCGATCATCCAAAACTGAATGACTGAACAATGGATATAATTTACACGCAGGAGATGAATTCAAAATTCCACAAAGCAATTAAAATACGGAAGATCAAAACATGAAAAAAAAAAAGATGAAGAAATCACCTGATATAGGGTTTCTTAAAAAAAAAAAAAAAACGAAATACCAATCCCTAATTCCAATTAATCGACAAATATAGACTATGGTTGCTTACTGCAGAATTGGAAAACACAAAGAAGGCGAAATTCGAGCTTAGATTTCGGCCCGACGGAAATACCGAAGCTCTGTGCTATTTCCCACTCGTCTCTGCAAAAACTATAATAGCCCGTTTTCAATTTTTATATGGTATAAATTTGTAAATACATGAAAAATCAGGGATTTTTTAGTTTTTTCGTAGCAATATTGAGGGCAAAATGGTCATTGTAAGACTGGGATTAAATTATCTGAGGGTGAGGCTGGGATCAATTTAATCGGCCAACAGCTGATAAGCCATGCCACATGTGCGCCATGTCAGAGCAATCCCATCCCAATCCATGTAAGTAAACAGATGTTATTCCAGGACTATTTTACTTATCATGTCCTGTCACGCAAAGTAAACGACCCCTAGAGGTACAGTTTTGCTAAGGAGACATCGGATGACTCGACTTATGGAGACATCCACCGTTATTCACAAATAGTATATTCAAACCACAGAAGATAACATAAAAACCCACCCACACACAACATTTTCTATCATCTCACATATCAACGCGGATATAAATCCGTGATCGAGGCATCATTTCTCGAACAATTATCAGATAAAACTGGTAAAAAACTTTTGTACTCAGAGTCTCTCGAATTATGCTCTGACGTATTTGAACAGTAGTCACTAGGCATATAGAATGCGGGCTCGGACGGCACAGCCAGAGTTATGGAGAAGCTATTGAGCATTACAACAACAGAAGCCATTGTTGGTCTATCGGTCGGGTTTTCCTGAACACATAGCAACCCAATATGAATGCATCTCACCATATCTCGTATTATACCTGCACTGGATCTTAGGCAAGGATCCACCAAATTTGCGGTTGTTTGATCTTTCCAGTTTTTCCAGGCCTGTCATCATTATTCATTCGTAATTTTCGATATTTTACTTTTATAATAAGAAAAGAAAGGAAAAGAAAAGGAAAATTGTACTTACAAAGCTCAAGAGATGCTCTATGCTCTCCCCATGCCGGACACTATTGTTCTTTAGACCACTAATGATCTCCAAGAGAAGCACTCCAAAGCTAAACACATCCGACTTAACGGAAAATTGCCCGTGCAGTGCATATTCTGGGGCCATATATCCACTGCAATGTGCAAATTATTGTTATATATAGGATCTAAGGATTTTTTTTTTGAATTAAAGATATATAAAAGGATATGAAATATTCTAAAATAATTACTATGTTCCAGCAATCCGGCTCGTATTTCCTTGAGTCTCATCTTGCTCGAATAGCTTCGCTAAGCCAAAGTCTGCAATTTTAGGGTTCATTGAGCCATCTAGAAGAACATTACTTGGTTTGAGATCACGATGAATGATCCTGAGCTGAGAATCTTCGTGCAAGTACAAAATTCCTCTGGCTATGCCTTTTATGATATTGTAACGTTTCTCCCAATCAAGATATGAACATTTGAATGGATCTACACACAAACAAATTAAATTGTATTTTGAGGTGAATCTCTTAGTTGCGAACAAAATACGATGAAATTATTTTGTAGTGATCATTTTTTTTACCGAATATAAAATGGTCTAGGCTTCCCTTCTGCACGAATTCGTATACGAGAAGCTTCTCAGCTCCTTCGAGGCAGAAGCCCAAAAGTCGAACCAAATTCCTGTGTTGAAGCTTGGCCAACAATACAACCTCATTCTTGAATTCCACATCACCTTGTCCAGAGTTCTCGGACAATCTCTTGACCGCAATTTTTTCTCCATTTGAAAGAACACCCTAGTGCCGAATCATAAGACATCAGAAAATACACTGTTGGATTCTATTCTTTTTTTTTTTCTCCGTTTAATCCAAATCTTCGTTACCTTGTAAACAGCTCCGAATCCACCCTGACCAAGCTTGTTAGCATCCGAGAAATCATTTGTAGCTTCTCTGATTGTGCTTAAGGCATATTTGAGGGATTCAATGGTGATGCTTTTGTCGTCAGCTAAATGTATTTTGGATAGATAAAAATTTCTGTTAAATATGCGCGAAAGGGGGAAATTCTCGTACTAACTCTGCACACAAGAAAAACATATTGGATTTCAATAAAACACCACACTTACTCTTATCTTGTTCTCCTGGTTTACGCTTTATTCTCTTTCTTAACAATGCGCAGGCAAAAACAGCTACTATTATGCAACACACAACTGCCACAACAACAATGATCATTGTTCTTGTTGTATTGTTAGCTCCTCCTCTTCCTGCAGATCAATTGAAATAACTCGTCCCGTGTAATCATATACAACAACAATTCGAGATCAAAAGGACTAGCTAAGTGTGCAGTTCATAAACCCTACAAGGACTAAAACCACAAATTCCACAATTGGCTAATCAAAATCTTGCAAGAAACGAGTTTATTACCCGGCGGCGTCAGCCGAGTCTCGGGGGCCACTTGTGCCGGCTCCAACTCAGGCGCAGGCGGCACTGCCTGGAGCTCCACGAGCCTAGTCTCGTTGTAAAAAGGGACTGTCCGAAACTGAAGGTTGCAGCTGGACATGGTGATCCTAGCCCACGCCCTCCCGCCGCAGCACCTCGGTATCTCCTGAGCGGCCTCCATCAAACACGCCGTGCAATCCTGTTCCGACAAATCCGGGCTGCACTGCACCAGCGCGTAAATGTTCTGAAAATCAGGCGCAGTCGTGTTCCCGGCAGCCACCTTTCTCAGGGGCCCTCCGGCCGCCGCCCGGCCGCGGAGGTCGTCTAAGAGCCGCCACAGGTCGGCGGTGAAATTCTCCGGGCTCGCGGCGGTCTGCGGATAGTGAACGTAGACGTAGGGTGTGGTCTGCAGGGTCCCGAGGAGGGTTTCGTTGGAGTAGCGAAGGGTGCAGAGCTCCCACCACTCGGCGGCCTGGCGCTGGTAGGGGCACGCCGCCAGGAGATTGGCGGTGATGTCACGGACGCAGATCCGGCAGGCGTCCGGCTGGATGTCGGCCCTGCAGAGAGCGTTGGCGTGGGCCCGGTCGGGGGGGCGGCCGAGTGAGGCGTTGAAGAAGCCGGTGGCGGCGTCGATTGTGGCGGGGATGGAGGAGAGGACGGCGTTGAGGTTGGCGGCGTAGGTGCTGTTGACAGTGTAGTTGAAGCTGAAGCAAGAGGATTGGGCAGAGAGGAAGAGGGAGCTTGTGTGGAGGGTTATGAGGAAATATAATGTGAGGAACATTTTTTTTTTATTTTTTTTTTAAGCGACTGTGGAACTAAGCAAATAATATAAAGAGAAGATGCATGCAGAGGAAAAATCTTTAAGTTCCTGTTCCACACACTTTTAAAAGCCGCTGTTAATCGAAATTTGGGTTTGATATGGGACCGTTGACCGTTGACT